TATTTCTGTCAGAAAATATGTAATAACGTTGCCGTTAAATGTTGTAGTGGTACAAAAATCCCCTCAGGCATTATTGAGCTCTCTTTGTTTATACTACAACAATTATTTGGGGAAAATAAGGTTTAATGTAATTTTTAGGAATATTTCTGTCATGAAATATGTAATAACTTTGCTATTAAAGGTTGTAGTAGTAGAAAAATCCCCTCACACATAAATGAGCTCCTTTTATTTATACTACAACAATTTTATTGGGAAAATCTTGTTTTATGTAATTTTTATGAATATTTCTGTCATAAAATATGTAATAACTTTGCCATTAAAAGTTGTAGTAGTACAAAAATCCCCTCACATATAAATGAGCTCCTTTTATTTATACTACAACAATTACTTTTGGAAAATCTTGTTTAATGTAATTCTTATGAATATTTCTGTCATAAAATGTATAATAACTTTGCCATTAAAGGTTGGAATCGTACCAAAATCCCCTCACATATAATTGAGCTCCTTTTGTTTATACTACAACAATTATATTGGGAAAATATTGTTTCATGTAATTAATACGAATATTTCTGTACATAAAATTTCAAAAAGTACACTATTAAAGGTTTTATTATCCCTTCAATTACCTCACAGTGATCAACAGCTATTCACATGGGCGCCTAGTTGCCTTTTCAACCAATCAGAAGAATGGTGGGTGGGGTATATATATATATATATATATATATATATATATATATATACATATATATGTGTGTATATATATATATATATATATGCTAAGTATATGTACAGGTAGGGGAACACTGTTAATTCCTTCTTACATATGACCAACCTTATGTGAAAGTATTAGTTAAAGTAAGTGTTAGTTTTTTGTGTAAAGATAGGGCCCCAAACGCGGCCCCCCATAAATTTTTTTTACTGGACCCTGTCAAAATTTGAAAAATAAAATGGTTCAAATTTAAGCAAATAAGCTGAATGAACAGTAAAGTTCAATGTTTTGGCCAACATTAATTACCTTATGTAAAAAATAAAATGAAAATCTACTAATGGAGAGCTGTGATGTCAGCTTTTTTTCTTCAGACATGTTCAATTTGTTTGATTATACCAATATTAGTGCATTAGAAGTAAGACAGTTTACTTAAGTTGAGTGAGCGGCCCAGCCCTTCGTATATTTTTCTGTATGTGGCCCTCAGGAAAAAAAAGTTTGGACACCTCTGCTCTAAGTTGTCCGTAGGTGTGAGTGATTGAATGAGTGGTTGTTTGTGTCAGCCCTGCGACAGGCTGGCCACCTGTCCTGGGTGTACCCTGCCTCTGGCCCTAAGCCAGCTGAGATAGGCACAGCCTCCCTGCGACCTGGGCAGCCCAGATAAGCGGTAGAAAATGAATGAAAATGAATGATGAAAAATGAATGAATGTATGAACATATGCGTTGACAACTGGTGCCAAATGAAGCTTTGATAAATGACATTACAGCATAATCTTAGCTCGTCTTCACAAAAGGTTTTCAGCTTTGCATTTTCCTTTTTTATCTTTAGGCATTTCATTGAAGACAATGGGGAGAGCCAAAAAAGGAACAAAAGCAACGCGCAAGGATTTTTGGGCAATGGCTGGTGGAATAGCAGCCCTTGTCAAAACAATGAAGAGCTTGAATATTACAAACTGGGATACAGGTTATTCCGCGGCAATCTGGTCTGAAATATCTAAGTCTCTATTTGGTCAGGACAACCTAAAAAACTGGCATTGGCTATGGGTCATGTGGTCCAAAAACAGAAAAGGAGTGAGAGATTTGCTAAGCCCACAAAAGTCTGAAACTGAAGTTAGGGAGGCAACAGCAAGCTCAACTTGCAATAAAAAAGTTGACATTGATGAGGAAAGTAAACAAGAAGAGGCAGCGGACATGATGACGGATGATGACCCACAAATTAATAATAATGAAAAGCAAGAAGAGACAGTTGGTCAGACTAAAGACACATCAGAAGATGAACATACAAATGATGATTTAAAAACAAATGAAGATGAAAAGCAANATCACTGTCCACTTTCAGTTTAACCCATTCTTTGAACAGGCTTTTTGTTCTTGGGTCAAATGTTTTCAGCTTTCTGAATGGGGGCTTTGAACCTGACAGTTTACATTGTAACACAGGGCATATCAGTGGATCTGCTTTTTGTGCTTCGCTTAACTGTTCTTTGGGTATGGGACTTATCGATGCTGCAGCTTGTTCGCCCTCTGCTACGACTGACAGAGACACAGCTGTGATCGACCAAGTTGCAGGCAACTCCTCTTGAACTTCGACAGCCTGGATGGCAGCTGCAATGGTGTCAGGTGGCAGTTCCTCCGAACAGACTCTCATCAGTGTCTCTACGTCCAGCGGCATCCTCGACAAGGTATCTGCATTGACATTTTCCTTTCCTGGTCTGTATTTTATTGTGAAGTGGAAGTCAGCTAACTCTGCAACCCACCTGGAAGTGGTTGCATTTAACTTGGCTGTTGACAAGATGTCGGTAAGTGGGTTGTTATCGCTATAGACAGTGAAGGTTGGGGCATAGTACAAATGATCACAAAACTTGTCAGTGATTGCCCATTTTAATGCAAGAAACTCTAATTTTCCTGAGTGTAGATGGTAATTTCGTTCAGAAGCAGTTAATGTCCGGGAGCCATAGGCTATCACACGCATTTTATCATTCTGGTTTTGGTATAAGACTGCTCCAAGGCCATGGTTTGATGCGTCTGTGTGGAGGACGAAGGGCTTTGAGAAGTCTGGGAACCCGAGAACTGGTGGCTCAACCAGGCAGTCTATCAGCTGCTCCAACACACGCTGATGTTCTTCAGTCCACGCAATTGGTTTGTGGGATGGCACTCCTTTCTTTGCTTTAGCTTGTCTTGTATTTATCCTGTTTCGTGTCACTTTGTTGTCTCCTGCTGTCCCTTTTAACAAATCATAAAGTGGCCCAGCAATATGGGAGAAGTCCTGTATGTATTGCCTGTAATAACTTAACAAGCCCATGACAGCTCGTAGCTCTCCTACATTACTTGGTCTCTTATCTTTCAAGGCTCTCACAGCGATGGTGTCAGCTGGATCGATTTTACTGTCTTCGGCTGAAACGACTCTTCCAAGGTAGCGAACCTCGCATTTAAATAGTTTGCACTTGCTGGGCTTCAGTTTGATCCCATACTTCCTCAACAGCTGAAGAACCTTTCTGACGTGGTTCACGTGATCCTCAAACAACTGACTGTGTCATCCAGGTAGGGGATGCAGATGTTGTCTCGCACTTCTTCCAAACACTCTTCCATACACCTTTGAAAAGCTGCGGGCGCGTTCATTAATCCAAATGGAATCCTTGTCCACTCATGCAGGCCCCAAGGAGTAACAAATGCAGTCAAATGTCTGCTGTCCTCATCCATGAAACCTTGGTGATAGGCTTTTCCTTGGTCCAACAAGGAAAACCATGAGTTGCCACCAAGACTGTCAAGAATGTCCTGCACTCGAGGGATTGGTTGTCTGTCAGGGTGAGTCTTTTTGTTTAGTTCTCTATAGTCTGCGCAAAGACGTAGACTTCCATCTTTTTTCCTCACACACACAACTGGTGAAGCATAAGGCGAGTTCGATTTCTTCATCCATCCTTGTGCAATAAGTTTATGTAAATAGTCTTTCATTTCCTTATACAGAGGTTTTGGCACTGACAGGTAGGTGCATGCTACAGGGTCTATGTCTTTCAATGAAATGCTCAACTTCAGTTTCTCAATATTCCCAATGTCATCGTCTGACTTTGAAAAGGAGGAGCATTCATCACGAAGCATGTTCTGCACTATTATTCTTTCAGTTTCACACAGATGTCTCAAGTCAATAGGTGGGTCCCATTGTGAATCAGTAACTTGCTCACTCTCTGCATTCACCTGACTTACTGATACTTGGGGGCAATGGTCAGGTTTCTCTAAAATGGTTGCTGGATAGACAGCCTGAACTTCCTGTAGGGTATCCACAACTGTTCTTCCTAACAACTCGATATCATAATCAGTTGGATTTTGTACATCAAGTACTATGTAGGGTGAAACATCACTTCTGAGCGTTATAACAGTGTCACAAAACTCAAGGCCTTCAGTCCACTGAGGTTTTGTGTCAGGCTCAAATAGAAGTGTAGTGTCTTTCATTAATGGCCGTGTTTGCACCTTACAGTCAATCTGGATAGAGGTGTATTTTGGTACAATGACTTTCTCTTTTGTCGTTTTCACAACATAATCACAGGACTCTTCTGCAGTTACTAGATTAATGTAGGTTGGAACATTTTCTCTCTCCAGGATCAGGAAAGCTCCTCTTAATGTGTCATGCAGCTGTTCTCGTCTGTTAGCATCAAGTGGTTCTGTGTTACTAGTTTTCACTATTTGCTCAGTGACATTGAAACCTACGATCGGTTGTGACAGACTTCCACCTCTCATCACTAACATGGGAACAACAAGCTCTTTAAAGTCAGTTCTCTCAGCATCTAACCCAAAAGTAACCTCAATGAAACCCTTGTAAGGCATGCACTGTCCATTAGCAGCTATAATTTTCAAATCGTCAGGTGCATCGAGTAACTCAGAGACATCTCAACCTTTCTTGGGGCAAATATCTCTGCTTCCACTTTTCATCAACAATGCAGACTTGTGAACCTGTGTCCCATAATGCTTGAGTTCTATGGCCTTGTATGTAGCAGTCAAGCAAGCACTGTTTCCCTATCAGTTCAACAAGGTGAGATTGGCTGTCCTTTTTCTTCGCGTGGGTGGCATATGCTCTTGGGGAACAACGCTGGCTTGCCTGTGAGTGAGAGTGCTCTTTACATCGTTTTCTGTGTTTCGACCAATGTTCAACTTGACAGATTTTAGAGCAATAAGTGTCTTTTTTGCAGGATGCACATTGTCTGAGTCTTTGGTCTTTTCCACGGACACCACAGTATGAGCAATATTGTTGGGACTTTCCATTGTTGCTGGTTACTCCCTGTCCCCTGGGGGTAACCTTCCACCGTTAAAAGGACCATCTCTTTCTTGCCTGGTTCCTCTCACCCTGCAACCTGCAAGTGTTCAGTGCTTCCACATCTGTAGCAATGAGTGCAATAATCACTTCCATTTTTCTGGCAGCTGAAACATTTTTGACATTCCAATCAAAGTGATACTTTAGTTCAAATTTGGAGAGAAGGGCTTCCAAAAAGAGGACAGTGGCAGCATCTGGCAAGCCAGTGTAATAATTGACTTTATCAGGGTGGGACGAGATTTGACTGAATGAAAATGTTTGTTTTTGTTTCTCCACTTCTTGTTTTAGTTTGTCATTTTCTTGTCTGAGCATATCATTCTCAATTTCAAGTACCACATCTTAAACGTTGCTACGCAGACCCCTAGTACTTCAAGGTACTAGGGGTCTGCGTAGCAACGTTAAGATTGTTTTGGCTCGGACCAGCTACTCCTTCATCATCCAGAGACCTTTCCTTTTCTACGTTTGGGGGTGATGTGCTTGGTGAAAGCCTTTCCATCACTCCATGCAAACCGTGTTGTCCCAGCTGCTTTGTCAGGAAAATGCCACCCACAGACCCTCGAGTTGTAGTTCGGGGTGAACTTGTCCCACCTGTAAAAGAAAATAAATGGCAATTAATATTAATGTGCAAGTTCACATTTCACATGAACTAGTTCAAAGTTCAAAGGAAAATGAATAACTATCACAGTTCACCAATTCACTTTTGATCTAGTAACTCATAACTAGTTAGACTAGTTCACTTAGTTCATGCTCAAATCATGAAGTTTTTTTAGATACTGGAATTTATAGCAAAATAAACTTCTTCACTCCTTATCAACTAGTTCATGCACAACACTGACAACATCTTCCATATCAGGCTCCCTCTGACTTGCAGAACCAACTTCTTTTATCGGATGTGTGGTTTAGCTAGGTCTACTAGAATCATTTAAGTCAGCCTCATTTCAAAGTCTAGTGATTTGTTATATAGCACAGATACTGGCTGTCTTCCTTGGAATACACACATTACTGGTAGCAGTTCAAGAAAGATAACGACAACCTTAAAAGCACTTCGAAGTGCTGACAAAAGAAACAAAGTTAGCACCTGCTTGTGGTCCCGTTTGGGTAGCTAGTAACCGCGAGTCGGTTATTATTGTTAATCATCTGAGATCCAGCTTACTTACTGTATCAACCTAAGCCATTTCTTCTTCTCCTTCTCGTCACGGGAAAATCGGTAAAACAAAATCTCTTTGTTGATGTCGTTTCGATTTGAACAACACGGGACACAGCACTGCACCATGTTAACCGAGCGCTTAGACCATTAGGATGTTAAGCTACTGGACACGGAAATGGCTTTTTTGGACATGGTGACGTAGACACTAGCCATGCCCATTGGTGAGTGTCACAGAGTGTGGAAATGTTTAGGCTGGCTTAGTTTGGTTATTAAAACATCTCATCTGTAGGTGATCAGGGTTATCCAGTGGGTGCAAGTTTGGTATCAATTTATCCTCCTCCAGTTGCAGTCATTTCTCTTTTATGGGCTGTGATACATTTTTTGGCACTGAGCTTAATGTCAAACCACTTCTTAAAAATTTTGCCAGCGATCTGTCCTCTAACCCAACAGAAATAATAACTGCGGTGATTATCTGATCCCATGTAGCATTTTTTCTTTCGCTGCTTATCCCAGTATCAAACAATATTTTTTTGTTAACTTCAACCTGCTGACAATTACCTTGATTTCAGTTTCAGGAAAGTTCCTCTTTTCCTTTTTGCCACGATCATGACGACAGGTGAGGAAAAAAAAAAAAAAATCACTTGCATATAAAGAGGTGTGTTGTTGTCATATATGGTGATTTGGAAGCATTTCTTAAGGCATTGTGCACAAGCATGGAGCTTAAGAACAAGCGGGATTTGTCAACACTTACCACCGACTTACTGATGTGCATATGACCCCCATACACGTTTGATCAATACAGATTTTCTATTTACAGACACTCTAAATTTCACATGTACGACAGAATTTAGAACCTTTTCTACGCACTGATGATAAATGAGGCCCCAAGGGCCTATGCTAAGCAGGATTTGGGGTTAGCGAGGGAACTTAAGGTTAAATCCTGGGGCCTCATTTATCATCAGTGCATACGCACAGATATGTGCGTAGAGTGTGCGTACAAACATTCCTACGCAAAGTATGGAATTTATCAACTTGTACTCATGCGTAGGAATTTGCATAAATATACGCACACCTCTTACCATGCGTACGCACATAATCTAGCGGTAGAACAGTGAAAATACAAATAGAAAGTATTCAGGGATTTTGACCAACGGCACATTCCAGCGTGAGGTTGGAGACATATACAGCATTTCCAGCCACCACTGAGCAGGATCAAGGCGGCAGTGTTGGATGCCATAACTCCCCTGGCCCCAGCCTACATCCAGTTCCCTTACAGCCATCACCGATGAGCCCAAATCAAACAGGAACTTAACACCGTCGCTGGATTCCCAAACATATGTGGAGTCATAGATAGCACCCACATCACAATCAAAGCAGCATCACTAAACGAGCTTAATTTTGTAAATAGAAAACAGTTTCATTCAATCAACGTACTGATAATTTGCAATGCACATTTGTCGCTATCCGTTGTTGTTGTTGCCCAGCGGCTTGGAGGAACGCACGACTCATTCATAGAGCAGAACAGCTCTGTGGGTGGGTCTCCAAGCAGGAGCTGCTGAAGACGGCTGGCTTACTGGTGAGTGTCACAGAGTGTGGAAATGTTTTAGCTGGACTTTGTTTGGTTGTTAAAACATGTCATCTGCAGTTCGTCCTCCTCCAGTTGCAGCCATTTCTCTTTTATGGACTGTGATGCGTTTTTTGGCACTGAGCTTAACGTCAAACCACTTTTTAAAATTTTTGCCAGTGATCTCTCAAATCCCACTTGTTCTTAACCTCCGTGCTCATGCACGTTGCCTTCAGAAACGCCTCCAAATCACCATATACGGCAACAACACACCTCTTTATCAGCAAATGAATTTTTCCCCCCCTCACCTGTCGTCATCATCATGGCAAAAAGGGTGAAAAAGAGGAACTTTTCTGAAACTGAAATCAAGGTAATTGTCAGCGAGGTTGAAGCAAACCAGAAAATATTGTTTGGTGCCGTGAAATGTTGGGATAAGCAGCGAAAGAAAAAATGCTGCATGGGACATGATAACCACCGCAGTTATTTCTGTTGGGTCAGAAGAGATCGCCAGCAAAATTGGTGGTTTGACATTAAGCTCAGTGCAAAAAAAAAAAACGCAACACAGCCCATTAAAGAGAAATGACTGCAACTGGAAGAGGACAAATTAATGCTGACCATTCATCCAGTGGACAGATGAGATGTTTTAATGTGCTGCCCTCACACTGCGTCAGCTTCGCACTGCTAGACAGCCAGTTAACATGTTCGAGCTACATTCGATAAACACACGCATGTACTGTTCTTTGATAGCTTTCAAACATCTTAGAAAACTGAAAATAAAAAAACACTTATATCTGAAGCCATTTATGTAGACTGCAAGCTACAGCTCGATTTTAAACATTGCAGGCCACCCTTCGTACGCGACGACTTCAATTGACTCCAAAGCGCTGTCGGCTCTGGCTCGAACGAGCAGCGACCGTCTACAAAGTGCAATACTGAAGAGAGATGCTACAAAAAAAATCAATAGTGTTGTCAAGGAATAGTGTAGGGTAAAAAAAATCAACCCACACATCAATCCATCCAGGCAGGTTATACTACCATAATTTCAATAATCTTTTCTCCTTTTACTTAATCGGTTTCTCTGGAAACGTATTATTCTATCCTATGGATATGGATTCTTTCACGCCAAGGCTCATCTATCCGAGGAACGTTGTACTCGCTCTTAGAGCTAAGTCCCGCACAGGTGAGGTTCCGTGGTTACCTGTGGACGTAAGGAAGCCATACCGAGGCTGCAGAGCCGGCGCTAAGCTAAAAGCTAAGCGGCTAGCAAAAAAGTGGAGA